TGAGTATAGCTCCAAGTGATCCACAGAGTCAAGAAAGGGAAGGATAGAGAGTGTTGGTTGGGGTTGCCAATATGGAATCCATGAGTGGGCTTTGGGGAAAGTAGTTTCAGTAGAATGTTAGAGACAGAAACCCATCTATAATGGGTTGAGGAGCATCGAGGAAGCACTGAGGGGCAGAGACTGAGTGTGGACTTGTCTTTATTAAGAAGAGAGAAATGTCTGTGACCGGGGTTACAGTATCTGAGGAAATGTGCTTGTATGTGTTAATGATTAGATAAATCATATCATTAGAGGATTTATAAATGAAGGGAAGAAGCTAAGAAGGCAGTTCAGGACCAAAAGACAGGACTGAGGGAATGGGGTCCAGGGGTGTTTTATAATGGTTTGAGCGATGGCACCATCATCAAAACGAAAGCTTTGCTGCCAAAGTGACTAAGATGGGTATTTATGTAAAAAGTATCAGTCATATCACTTCATAGCCGTATCTTACACTGAGATTTATTTATTATTTGTGGAAATGTGTAATTGGTTTTCTGAGCTTTATGGGATTAATAACTTTTAAATGAGAATATATGATTTGGCTGTTAAAATAGGAGGTTCTTTTGTTTGATGACTTGGATGGACAAATGATCAGATAAGAGCTAAATGAGGATGATTGTTTTTTGAGGATGATTATTTTTTATATTTGTTAGACTAATTTCAACGTGAAATACAAAAACATCTTGATAATTTTCTTCCCTCACATTATGCATTATGATTCAAAGAGCAAAGTGTTAGTTGGCAATAGTTCCTTCAAAAGTCAAAAATTCTTCATATACTCATTCAGTTGAGACAGTTAGGGAGCATCTGCTGTGCCCCCGGCCCTGTGTTGGGCATTGCAGATATGGCTGCAAAGAAGGCATCTTTGGTCTTTGTTCTGATGCTGCTCACAGTAGGGGCTGTAAGAAAGGAAACAGGCCTTTACAGCAGCATGATGAGTTCTAGAATGGGGACACAGAGGGGTTTTAGGAGGATGCAGAAAAGCTACCTAATGGACACTAGTTATGGAAGTGGTTGGAAGTGAAACGAATGGATCAGGAAAGGCTTTTTTGATGAATTGATGGGCATGTAAGCAAAGATCTGAAGAATGGTAGGATTTCTGCAGAAGAAAAGAAGCTGGGCTGGTGAGGAGGGGGAGTTGGGGCAAGAAGAGGGCTCCTGGCAGGTGGGGGAAGCCTTAGCTCGGGAATGTGGAGAAGGCAGCATCATTCAATAGTTCTGGCACTGTCAGTGCAGGAGGAAGAAGGAACAAAGGTGTCAGGAGAGGAGGCTGAGCTGGAGGCCTATCATAAAGGGTCCTATGAGGAGTTTGGGCCTTACCTTAGACTGACAGGATGCTAAGCAGGGAAGCACAGATGAGCTAGATTTACATTTTACAAAGATTACTTTCTCTGGTTGGTGTGGAGGTGGATTGAAATGGAACAAGAGAGGGGACAGAAAGACCAGGAGAGACATGCTGGAGGCCTGATCTAAGGCAGTGACCCTGGCAAGAGAGAGAGAAACACATGGCAGACAGAAGAAAATAGAAGAATGGGGCTTATTGGTAAACTAGAGGCCTGGTGCATGAAATTCATGAACAGGGAGGGTCCCTAGGCCTGGCTGGCGATCAGGGCCGATCAGGGCCTTCCAGTTGCTCGGCCAGGGCCTCCATTCGTTCTGCGCTGCCCCCTGGTGGTCAGTGCATGTCATAGTGAACGATCAAGCTCCTGGTCTCCCAGTAGAACTCCTGAGGAGACACTTTGCAAATTAGCCTTTTATTTGTATAGATTAGTGGAGAGTGGAGAGAGCCGACACACAGATTCCTGGCTAAGTGTCTGGCTGGTGTTGCCACTCAACAATCAAGGGAATGAGTGAAGAGAAGCAATTTTGATGAGGAAGAACCCTCTCTTTCCAGGCTTTTCTATCTCAAAAAGGCAAGCCAAGTTCAGGTGACACACAGGTACTTTGGGCTGCTTTTTAACCCATTGTTTGGATTCAATGGCCTCCGTGTGTGGGTCCCCTAAACATGTAGATGTTGCTCTCCGTGAGTTTTAAGCAGAGCAAAAGAAAGATATTTACCAGTGAAACTTCAGAAAAGCAAGCACACACTATCTTGACTCTGGTGCCCACAAGATAAGTTATAATAAACATTCTACTTTTAATGTAACAGATTTTCCATTCCCCACCTTTGCCCCAGGCATCTGCACACACAAATCAAAACCTTCTTAAGTCATGGAATAATAAAAAAAAAATAACATAAAAGCAAACAAGAGTGCTTCCTGTGCGGTGAATGGAAATTTTTTGCCCATTTTATTTTGCAGGCACACGAAAAGTAGTTCTGAATATTTAAAACTGTAAGTAATTGTGTTTATTGTTGTGTAATTTTCTCCTCTTGAGATAGAAATGTCACACCTAAATTTTGTTAGGAAATCTCTTGCGTTCAAATATTTTTGAACTTCGTCTAGGACCTAAAGGTACCCTTCTTCCATCAAAATATGAGGCCAAAAAAATCATGTTACCAGTAATTTCTGGCTAGATAAATGAAGACTAACATGAGAGTATAGTGTGGTAATTAAGTGTGGAATTCAGAGTTTCCTTATCTGGGACTGAGGTGCCTGGTTCAATCACTTATTGACTGTGTGATCCGAGGCAAGTTACTTAATTTCTCTATCAGTTTCCTCACCTCTAAAATGGGAATAATAATGGGACCTATCTTATAGCGGTTAAAACTAAATGAGGTAATTATGTGAGGCACAATGTCTGACACATAGCATGTGCTCAATAAATGTTCATTACTCCCTGTCCATCTTATTACCCCCTGCATAACTAGTTGAACTCTAGATCTGTGGCAGCTTTTATCAAATAAAGTAAAAGCTCTCCATACTGTACTTAGTTCCAGAGCTCGACCACAAGAAGGTTAGAAAAAGTCAGTTATCCTTCACTGCCTGTGTCTTTGCTGGAAAAAGACTCCAATGTAATGACCACGCATCTGGAGGCATTTCCTCTTGATGCTGCCCAGGGTACAGTGGAAGGGAAAGGGAGGAATCAGGGTAGCAGGTTCCTAGGGGCTCTGGGGGTCCAATCTTTACTGTTCAGGCCAGCTCGGTCTCTCACATAGCTTCTTTCACACCCACTACTGAGGCCCATGAGCCCTAAAAATTGTGCCTGGGAAAACACCAGCAGCAGCTTAGGGAAATCACTGCAGAATCACCCCCCTACTTTGCCTCTGGAGCCCCTTGGCTCTGGTCCAGTATCCCTAATGATTCCTCTATAGCCCCAAACCTGGGTTCTACTTTAATGTCTGGGCATTTTAGACTGCCACCTCGGCTGCCCTGCCCAACTGATTCCAACTTTACCTGGATGTCACCTCTGCAGGCTAAGAGTTGGTTCTGCCTGGTCACTTCTCAGAAACCCAGCGTGGATTCAACCTCCTGGAAGCTGGGTTAGACGCTGGGTGGTATTCTCAGAAGCCTTGGCACTAACGGTTCCACCTACTTGGTTAAGACTGAGGACTCCGGAGACAGTGACCCTGGAGCCAGTGGCTCCTCATATCCCAGCCCTGCCTCTTACTAATCATACAAGGTAGGCCAGGTACTTTACACTCTTGTGCCCCAGTTTTCCTTATCTGTAAAATGGGTGATTAGTAGTTCCCATTTCATAGGATGGTTAAGAGGATTAAATAGATTAATAGATGTATATAGCATAATATATATATATATACACACAACAAATTCACTGAAATACTTGTGAGACAATGTAAAAATATTAGCTAAAAAATATTAGCTATATTTATATTACATTTTATGCATGTTAAATATATTATATACTATTTGTACTTAATTTTATACATGTTTTGTATTAACTTGTGTTCTTTCACATAAAACATTTGTGTACATATAAATACTACAATTTATATTATTATTACTGCTGTTATTGTTTACTCTATCTCCCTACAGGGATAGAGAAATCATGGGTAGGCTTTTCCATTTTCTTGCTTTCATCTGAGGTTATAAATGTGGAGTCCCTGGTTTCTACAGACTCTTTTGTAATATGCAGAGCAGGGCTTATGTTGGATTAAAACCGACTCCATCATTTGGAAAATGATAATTAACAATGAATGCCATGTCAATATTGTTTCTCAGCTTACTAGGTTACTCTTCTTTCAGATATCTTCATTGCAATTTCTGTAATATCATTTATTTCTTGTCCTATTTCAAACTCTCAGGCAAATAGAAGACAGAAATGTGTCAAAATATGTTATTCGTCATGTGGCTATTTTTAGATTCTGCTATCCCAATAACTAATTTTCAGAAAAGTAGGTTGGTTCTGAAAAGAATAGGCATTGTCTCTGTCACTTGTTTTATTGGAACCACAATGAGGGTAGACTTTTCCTGTGTCGTCAAAATCCTAAACAATCCATGAGTTATGCTTAGTCCCCAGTAGCAATAATACCTCTCGTACAGCCACTGCCATCAATTAAAAGTCACATCCTTGCCTAGGGAGGTGGGTGGGGGAGGGGGGAGGGGTCATTGGAGGAAAGGAGGGGGGCATTTTAATACTTTCAACAATAAAGATACATTTTAAAAAAGTCACATCCTTGCCTTGATGGTAAGTGTGACATTGCATCAACCCCCACAAAGCCACTTCCTTTCCAGCAAGTAGAAAACATCTAGGAACATGAATTTTGCTGTTATTTTTTTCAGCTCTGTAGAAGAGGATTTTATCTGTTCTTGGCAAAGATGAAGTTGGACCTTTGGTATTTCTTTCTCTTCTGCTTCCAAGTTGAAGTTCTAACAGGTAAGTGGTCTATTGAATATTTCTTATTATGTTATAACTTAATAAGCGACAGTAGGAAAAATCAAAGGTAGAAAATTTACGCATCAAATAGAAAACAATTTTTTTTTTGAAAGTAAGAACAATTGCAGAAGGGCCCAAGTACGTGGATGGCTAAGGGCATTTGTCACTCATGTCACTGTTGATGACATTGAGTTTGTACTGCTTCCTTTGATATTATGTTTTAAGATAAAGAAAAAGATTTCATCAGTCCATTAAAATTTTAAATTACCTGCTTGGAGTTACCTTTTAGTGGGTAAAGTAGAAGAGTGGCCTACTATTCTCAGAGAAAGATGAAAGGAAGAATGACTTGTGTCAACGGAATGAAAATGAAAAGTCCTGACATTGGGCTGGGAATTATTTCTGAAGGAGAAAATGAAATGGAAGGACTTTGAGAATAGGATTTTGATTTTAATCTTATCTGGGTGGTCTATTGTTAGAAATGCCCAGGCCTCCACAGAGTTTTCTCAACACAAAGTGTCAGAATCCCTCTAAAAGGCCAAGGAGTAGTGGATGATGTAGAAACACACCCCAGCCCTTGTAGACATTAAAAAAAATAATAGTTCTGAAGTCCTCAATTCTTTCTATCAGGTGGCACATGTCAGACTCTATTTAAACAATTTAAATAATACTATCTACTAAATTGAACTAATATATGTGTTTCTACTGCTTCTTACCCTGTAGATTTTATTTAGTATTACATTTATTTTATCCTTAACTCTGAGCCATGTGTTTGAGGCTGGGAAAAGAAAAGTGAAATTATATTAAGTTGGGGAGTTCCATTAACACTAAAAGTGAAGTCACCACTTTTAGTAGGTATAATCTTATCTAGAAATAATAAATTTTTTTAGTGGTACAGAAAATACACTAATTTTTTTCCAAAAAAAAAAAAAACCCACCCAAAAGTAGATTGGTCATATGTTTGATCTTGCAGTGGCTCAAATGCTCTTGTAAAGAAGAATGAGGAATGAGGAAATAGGATCTACTTATAAGTCCCAAGGGCAGTTTGGGACAACTTGCTTGTCTAACTGCAGCTTTTCTACAACCCAATGGAACCCTTTAGTGACATAAACAACAAACAAATAGCTTCAGAATTAATATTCATTCACTTACTCATCAATTTATTCATACTGCACCAAACACCTGCTATGCAGGAGGTACTATTCTAGCTGCTGTACATACAATGATGAGCAAAACTAGGTCAGTCCCTGCTCTCATGAAGCTAAATAAATGGTTGGGAGAAAGGCATTAATCATATAATCCCATGAATTAATGATAATTACTGGTAGAACTCAGTTCTATCATAGAATATAATAAAGAAGTCTATCTAGACTGGGTGGGTGTAGAGGTGGTGTTGGGAAGTGTGGTTCATTGAAGTCTTTTGTGTGGAAGTGGCACTTAAACTGATATTTGAAGGACAAGTAGGAGTAAATGGGGAGAATGGTATGAGGGTTGGGAGGAACATTCCATTGCATGAGGAGAGTAAGTGCTAAGGACCTGTGGCAGGAGGGAGGAAGGTAAGGCCAGGGAACCAGAAGAAGGCAATGTGCCTGAGTACAGAGAAGGAAGGCATGGGGGATGATGCAAGATGAGGTTGGGAAGGAAAGCAGAATCCCAACATTGTTGTCTATAGGAAGAACTAACTCGCACATTTTAGTTCTATGAAATTTTGCAAGACTTTTCCTGCACTGGACACTAAAAACAAATAAATAAAAGAAATTAAAAATTTTTTAAAGCCACATAGGGAAACATGTCAAATGTGTTTTTGTCCTTTGGCAAGGCTGTGGGAGTCTTAAAATGTCACAGTAGTAAATAACTTACTACTTTTTGACAAAATCTTTTTTCTGTTGGAACACTGAATTCTTTTGTGCATATGGGTGTACTAGTATACGAATACAAATGGAAGGCTTCTATCTCCTGGAGTTACCTCCATATGCTGATGATAACTATTTTCTTTTTTTAGTTCAATGTGGAGACTTGAAACTTGAATGTCCCTTCTAGTTTTTATATCTATACTACTAAAAGGATAATATGTTAATTAGACCGGACATCTTCCTGACGTCCTTCCGGACAAAGCTACAGTGGCGGGGCCAAGGCAGAGGCGGTTAGGGATGATCAGGCTGGCACGGGAGGGCAGTTAGGGGCAATCAGACTGGCAGGGGAGCAGTTAGGGGGTGATCAGGCTGGCAGGCAGAGGTGGTTAGGGGCGATCAGGCAGTCAGGCGAGTGGTTAGGAGCCAGTGGTCCCAGATTGCAAGAGGGATCCCGAATTGGAGAGGGTACAGGCCGGGCTGAGGGATCCTCCCCCCACCCCCTCCATGCACGAATTTCGTGCCTCGGGCCTCTAGTCAAAAATAAAAAGAGGAAGACAGACTCAAGAGTTTTGATCCTGTCAACCACCAGTTCTGATAGAATATTTTGTTTGTCTGAGCCATGTTGACATAGACATGGGACTTTCAATAATCAATTAAAGAGCATTTAAATGTAACTCTTTTGAATTTGAGAAGTCAAACTTTTAGCAGACAACATTTATATTCTCCTTGGGCTCAGCACCAAAAAAATCCTTTTATGAAAGATTCAACAACGCCACCATCACCAACATCTCTATTACACTCACAATTAAAACTCTTTTCATTTTGTACTATATAGGTCTAAAGCAAAAATCTCATAGTAGTATCTGTTTGCACATATTTAAATATGATGGAAAGTTTCTTGTATATGTGAATCCATATTTTTACATTTCTACAGGCAGGTAAGTGACAGAATAATCATTAAGAATTTAAACCCCGTTAGAGCAAAGATCCAGATTTTGTTGCAGGTTCAATGTGTTAAGCACATATTTCCTATCTAAGAAATGACAATCACAACATACATGTGACACCAATGTGATTACTTTAAGTGTTTGGGACAATTATATACCCAATATATCCTGAAGGAAAATACATATCTGAAAATACCTTCCAAATCTAGCCTAATGCATTAAGTGGCTCTTTAAGAGTGTGGACTCTGGTTTCAGATTATTTAGGTCCAAATTATGGCTTTACCATATATTGGCTCTATAACCATGGGCCAGTAATTTAAAACCACAGTTTCTTCATCTGTAAAACAAGGATAAAAATAGACAATCTGACTGAAAAGGCTGCTATGAACCACAAATGATAAAGTGCGTGCAATGCATTTAACACAGTACTCAATACATAAGAAGCACTCCATGCTAATAAGTTATTGCTATTATTTTTGGAAGCTTATGAAAGTTTAGATATTTATATAACTTCTAGACCTATTGGGCTTCAGAGAATTGGCTGGGAATCACTCTGTACTGAAACCAGGAAAGCCGGTGTTTGTGCTACCTGTCACTAACAGAACCAATAAGTAGAGACAAGGCCGAATCCTTATGGCGCTTTATTCAGATGACCAGCGATCTGAGAAGATGGTGTGCTATACACCCTAAACACTGTCTCCCAGCTCATCTCAAGCTGACCCTTTTTATGAGAAGAAAAGAGTAGGTAAAGGATTTGGAATTCAGGAAAACAATTGGCAAGGGGTTTGGAATTCAGGGAAAACGACTAATCAGATAAAAGCTGCAATCTGGTGGTTTTCCGAGCATCCCTTCATGTGATGACTGGTGATTATCTGTGTCTGGGGAGCTGATGTTCTCTCCCTGGAGCACAATGACTCAGATACCTCTTGGTCCCTCACAGTCCTCCTGGGGCACAAAGGTGGAATTGCTTGCGGGCCTCCCTGAAGTCAGGGCAAGTCCAGCCATACATTCCAGTCCCTGGAACAATAGCTTTCTACATGCATTAATTACCAGGCCCATTAACTATATAACTGAAGCTAAGATTGTTAAATTCTTGAGTTCCCCATCATTATGAGTCTTTGTCTTTGGACTGGGAAACAAGCGTCCTCCGATATCCAGTAAATAGGATCTCTTGCCCTGCCTTTCTTGCTCTTCTCAGCCTGTCGCAGACAGTTACCAACCATGCTTACCCTCTATATTTTCCTATGTACAGTAGGTCTTTGGGTTACGTCGGAGATCCGTTCCTATGGCGCGACGTAACGCGATTTTTGCCATAAGTTGGAACCCACCTGCTTAAGCACCAATGTCACTCAGGTGGAGCACAAACACAGCAGTAATGAAGTGAAACAGTAAACAAATTTAAAAGAAAGATAACAATTCCTGACCTTTACTTGTGGTAAATAAATAATTAAAAAAAACATAAAGCACATATGTAACAGACGTCGAAATGACGGAACTTTTTTTTTTTTTAATAAATAAATGGGAGATGGCGAGGTAATCACGAAACGACGTATGTTGAGTCCGACATAACCCAAGGACTGTCTGTACTTATTCATTTAACATTATTGAGCTTCTAATATGTTCCAGGTCCTGGGGTTATTTTGGGGACCGTGATGCAGTCCTTATTCTTTCATTAAAAATATATTTTCATTGATTTCAGAGAAGAAGGGAGAGGGAGAGAGAGATAGAAGCATCACGATCAGAGAGAATCATTGATCAGCTGCCTCCTGCACGCCCCCTATTGGGGATCAAGTAAGCCTGAATCCATGGCATGTGTCCTGATGGGGAATCAAACAGTGACCTCCTGGTTCGTAGGTTGACCCTTAACCACTGAGCAACACTGGCAGGGCAGCAGTCCTTATTCTTGTGAAGCTCATATTAAATGAGAAAGATGGGCAAAATAATTATGCTCTAAACATATATGAATTATAAGTATATTGGTTTAAGCAAAATATTATTGAGAAAATAGGAGTTGTTATTTTTGGGGGTGTGTGTGTGTCTCAGGTACCAATTCAAAATAGTTCTTAAAGAATGAATAAGGTTTTCTAGGCAGATAAAGGCATAATAGGATATTCTAGTCTATGGAAATGGAAGTAACAATATAAAAAGAATGGCCAAAAATTCTGGTATGGCTTGAATATACTGTCTGAGATGGTCAAAGGAT